AACCACGAACAACACTGGCCAACGTATCACCCTGATCCTGCAACAGTGCGGCGTAGGCTGAAGAAACAGTACGAAAAACAAGACAGTGAGATTGAAATTCACATTCGAAAACTGTGCAACAACAAAATTACCTGATCGTCGGACACTTCGACGCATCGGATCGAAAAAGGAGGCTCAAGATAAGCAAAACCAAGAAGTGGTGCGCAAGAACAGCTCGTCACAAACTGAAACAGCCATTCAGAAACTGAAACTCAGACTGTCCTACATGACCTCGTTTAACCAATGTAACTAGCTGTTTTTCGTGTTTATTCCAGCCAACACTCCGCCATTTAAGGGCCAATCTGCCCGCACTAGTGACATGACTTCTTGCTTTCTTCGCCGTTAAAAAAATGTCCCATACACAGTAATCGCTATACCACTGAAATTACTTTGCTGTTCGTCTACTCTGAAATCTCTTTTTACTCTAGGCTAACAATCTATACAAGACAGTGCGCAGGGAATTTGTCGTGTAGGTATTTCCAGCAGGGCCAAATTCGAAAAAGAGAGTTATCCAGAGTCGCATTATGGACAATCATATTTCCCTTCCTTTCCAGAGAAATGAAATAAAACCTTCCTTGCCAATAAATGAATTAATTAAAATGTCTGTTTTTTTTTTTTTTTTATCTAAACAGCTTAAATGCACTTGATGCTTGGTGTAAGCAGAAGTGCCAACATTTTAGAAACTGCAAAATCTCAGTTTAGAAAAGCAAAAAAGCAGTGCGCACCAGGGTAGCTAGTGCGATCATGCGTTCTGTACATTTCTGTTTGGCGGATGTTTGCTATTAAAAATGCCCAATGTTTTGCTGCTCGGCATGTGCGAAGTCGTCAGAATGTTTTGTTCGGCCAAAATTACATTTTTCTATACGTAAGATCTAAGCGTACGTAAAAGCAAATTAAAAATTTCCGGAGTTACGCATGAACAATATTTTCTTGAAATTTCGGCTTCCTGCCCCTCCTCGTTCTGGAGTTTGGAAATTTCCTGTCAAAGGATGCATTCGTACATGAAATATAGGCAAGCGTGAAAGCTGAACCCAAAATTTTCGATGCCGCGCATGGACACGTAACATTTTCCTTGCCGCGCATGGACGCGTGGACATTTTCCCTGAACTTCAAATTCCTAACTTTCCCGGTCCCCGAATGGTAATTTTCCCGCCAAAATCTTATGTGCTCGCGTGAGACCTAGATGTACGTGAGAACTGCGTTTGAAAGCTCTGGGTTGCAAATACGCATTGAACACCCTCGTAAAATTTCAGCTGCGCCCTCCAAGTTAGTAATTTCTGCGCCAAAATTTTCATGTAAACGTACGTGAGAAGCAGACGCAAGTGAAAGCTGGGTTTACGCCTGAAGAGTCATACGTCGGTAGCAAACATTCTCCTAAAACCTTGGCTTCCCAGCTTTTTCGGTCTTCGAATCAATAATTTTCATGCCAAAATTTTCAAGTGTTCGTACGTAAGACTTAAACATAGGCGGAACCTGACTTCAAACCTACGAGATCACGTGCGTGAAGAGGACACTCCACAAAATTTCAGCTTCTTAGCTCTTTCGTGGAACACACACATACAAACAAAGTCTCGACAAAATGTATTTTGTGCAATTGTTACGGCAAAAAACGCACAAAAATCAAAAACTAAGTGAAAAAATACTTTCAAAAAGAGATGGCGCTCCTCAGCTGTGAAATCGCATTCGAGTATCTGCCAAAGCCATTTGATCACTCGATGATTGTTATGAAAGCCCCCATAATATTGCACGTGCTTACGAAGATCATGTAAATCAATATCACTGCAATGAAATGATTTAAAAACTTGATTTTAAGTAGAAATAATATAATAGAGCATATCGCTGGTAAAAGAAACAACAAATACAAACTATCCCCCTATTACTTTTGTGAATAACAGTTGTTAATCATATGCAGATTGTCAACGAAAATTATTAATCTTACGTAGACTGTCCAGAAATTAGATATTGAAGTTCATGGGGAGCAAATAACGAAATCCAATTGCCATTCAGAACGGAGAGAAATCCAACCACAAAAGCACGACACTGTTCCTTTGTTTGATTGAACACACGGTACTGCGCCATTTTGTGAACGTAGGCAATTCTAAAAACTACAGCTATAATCGGAATCGAAGTAGTCTTACAAGCTACAATCGCGTACAAAGCCGGTCAAGGTTTTGTCATATCAACAATAACCGGAAATATCCTCGCAAAGTTTCAGCTTCACAGCTTGCACCATTGTTGAGATGGGAGTGAGCGACGAAACCCAAACACACATAAACAAATGAAAAATCTTTCGATAAGCATGAACTCATAACTGTGGAGAGGCTTTCCGCTAGGAACCAAAACAACAGTGTGTAAACTCCCGAGGACATCAGTGAAGCAAAAACACATTAAAAACCAAGATCAATTTGATCAAAAAAAGAACATTTTTACTTTTTTCTTCATTCAAAACGGCTCAAAAGTTAAAGAAAACAAAGAAGCCAGCAAACTAAAACACAAATATGAATCGGAGTGAAATGATTATCTTTTTCCGAAAAAAAAGGTGCCCAAAAAAGAAAGAGAGTCCAATAAAAAGAATGTTTTACATAGTGGGCATCTCCTCTCTCTCTAAGTACTCACTTATTTTCATTTGTAACTTGTATCGCACGTCCGCCAGGAACCAAATCAACAGTGTGCACACGTCCGAGTACATCTTCATCAACGGAGAACGTCAGTGACAAATCAGCAACATCTTCCGAATCCGAATAATGCTTCACGTAAGCGAGACTTTTGTAAAGTTCGGGATCTAGCTGCGAAAGCTCATCGAAGGCGCACAGTTTGCGGCCCAGTGCAGTTGCCAATAGCACAGGTGCCAAGTGCACCTCGGCCACAATCCCCTAAAGTTGGTGCTAATTCAAAAACAGGCCAGCACATTGCGCTGAGCAAAAAAAGAACTCATGTTTTGCTTGAAAATTGAAAAGATGGTCCTTTAAAATGTTCATATATTTTACGTCATTCTATCATTACTTTCCATGGGTGTCTCGCCCAGCAGCCCGACGAATCACTGCTTTTTTTTTTGGAACGCTAAAAATCCCTTAAACTTCAAAACAGCCCAAATATCGACGCTCAAAATCAATGCTACGCCAATCATTCAACTGAACGTCATCTACGACTGAATCGCCA